AAGATATATCTCAGAAAGAAATATAATAACACCAGTGACCTCCATACAATTGATCATTAATCATGAAATGAATAAAACATTGATAAGCACTGACTCAAAAAGCATTAAAAATTTAGAAAGAAACCAACGGCACAATGCTCTTCCTAGACACTCTTCTGGTAAAGAAAGATGACCAGAACCGTGATTGCACTGGACTATAGAAAAAATACACATACGGACCATTACCTGACCTTCAAATCTCGCCATCCTTTGCACAAGAAGTTAGGCGCCGTACGCACATTGCTTAACAGATGCAATACATTAGTCACAGAACGACAGGACAAAATAAAAGAGCAGAATAACATCGCTAGGTACATATCCAGAATTGGCCCTAAAACGGGTACAGAAACAGTGTCAAAGTAAGGCGAAGAACATGAAAAGGACAATTAAGGATAATAACAAAACCAAAGGTCAAGTGGTCATCCCGTATACAAAAGGTTTATCCAAAACCATCCAGAAGCTATATCACGGACAAGACGCTTCGTAATATCCTAGTACACCCTAAGGATAAAACACATAAATAAAACGTCGCAGAATGCCTTTATAACATAGGATGCAAAAATGCAACGCATCGTATATTGGAGAGACCGGAAGGCGAATCTGGGTCCGCCTTAGTGAACACCAGAAAGGTACGGAAACCCAAGAAGGAGGGAAATTCACCAGATCAGAAAGGAAGAAATCTGAGTTCTAGATAAATAAATCGACAATCACAGACCATGCCACACAGAAACATCATGTGATTGACTGGAATAACTCCAAAGTATTTGACAAAGAGAGAGCAATATGTTCAAGTGGCTGATAAAGGAAGTCATCTGGATAGGCTACAGTGGGTCTATGACCAAGTATTACAGTATTTATCATTTTGCTCATTGGAGTGCATTGTGGACAGTTGTTGTTTCTACCCGAGTTCCCGATGTGAAGACGTGGTAGTAACTGGATTGGACTTAGATTGTAGAAGACACTTACCCTTTCGGAACATCTGGTTTTATTCTTTTTGTACTTTTTCAAGTATCTCTATGTAACTCTGTCATTTGATCATAATTTGTAGTTTCAACAATTTTGAGTTCGCATTATGGTTTTGTTAACACTTCGATATTCTCTCACTGTTGTTTCTTTACCGTCGTATATTTTTATGTTTATTTCTCTGGTATAATAAAATAATCAATACAGGCTTTAATTGTTCGGAGCGATCAAAGAAAAAGACCACAAATGTCATCTCTTCTTCAAGTCTGCATATAAGGCTCTTTGCTTAGACGTCATGTACATACCGACCTTTATTTATTCATTTATGTGCACATTGAGATGATTACCTTCTTGCTTAATGCATAAAGGGAGGTTACAAATTATATGGAGCGCTATATAAATGTTGTATATAAATATTATGTGGGACCCATAATAAATTTGCTCGCACCTCAGACAAAGATATCCTACACTTTGAAATACGTTGTCTTCTTTGTAAGGACGAACTACATTTTTACGCGAAAGCATTCAAATGTAGCTTTAGTAGTGAATACGCCATTTTTATGTGAGGCCCTAGACGGGGTACTTGTAGTCTTTAGCATAGTCTTTAGCACTGCATTAGCGATGTTAAATCGGACATCAATCCCAAATGTTGTACTAATATACAACATCATGTATTCTATTTTACCATAGCACCGCTGATGGGATCTGAATGGACGAAATAAACATATATATTGTACAGGAAATGTTTATTTGTTTGAAACAATTAACTAAATGTTTGAATAAGTGTTTCCTTACCTCGTATTCCTTGTTGATTATTTTATGTTACAATCGTTCAAGGTTATGTTCCAGGTCTGTGCTGGTAGACTATCTTTATCTGAGGTTGGTCGAAAATTTGTGCCTGGATTTGTTTCTTGCACGGTTTGCATGATGGTTTACGAAAATAACCATATTGTGTAGTAAGTTGCTTGCAAAAAAATCAAAAAACAAATCAAGCACTCCTTGGTATATTGAACATCAAATATGTTACTTAAGTTTATTGATTATAATGAAAACATATCCCATTAAAAAGATGTGATCATACAGTTGTGACTGTAAGGTATTATATCGACGTATCGTACTCGTGAACCGTGCCTCAAAAGCTTTACCTGAAATTGAGTATGCCCGCGCTTCAAATGTGGATATTGAAGTCCGGTGTTTTTGAAAATGTATTAATTACGGTAAACATGGTACGAAAGCAAATACCAGAAGCGCAAAAATGGCAAATAATCAGCATGTACTCAACAAGAATGTCCTTCAAAGCTACTGGATGTCATATGGGCTATCATTATACAATAATCAGCCAACTGGTCAAACCAACTCTGTAAAAGACTTTCCATTATACAAGAGACCACCTGTAATAACGCAGCGTGAAGACATGTCACTGCATCGCTTGCTTAGACGGATGTCTTTCGTGTCTCATATTTTGTTTAGAAGTCAGTAACATTTGTTTAATACCATATTGGTTTGAATGTGTATTCAAAGTTTCCTGAATGAGATAGATTTAATGTCATCTGTCTCAGTCTTATGTGAACTACTGCAAACGCACTCTGAACATCGCCTTGCGTCGTCCTTGATGCTCCCATAAACAAGTTCTATTCTTGACTTTTTCTCGAAAACAGTGTCAATTTCAACAGACTTTTGCAAGAAACTTTTAATGATTACACCCTATGAGTAAGTGTATAGTTTTCAGTCCTCTGAAAACTTGTGCATTTTAGCGAGAGAAATGAAGCGTTTTAAAAGAGCTGTTTAACGCATTTAAAGAAATGATTTTTACGTTTAAACGAGGTACCTATCATGTTAGATAATTGAAGCATTTTAATGAGATTTTGATCCAGATTTATACTGATAGGCCTCCGTACTATTGTAATATAAAATATATAATCTTTCAATATTATATAAATGTCCCTAGAATAACATACCATTGTACGGATTGATGAGAAAAACATTTACTTGTTGTTATATAATTGTATGATAGCTTTTTATTTCATTTATTTTCTATTAATTTTACAATACAAATATATTTGACACCAAAATGCTATCGTGTGTGTTTTTTTACCTCATGCTTCACATCATCTTTATTTCGTATTGAATTTACACACACTAGTTTTACTTTCGTGTCACACATGCTTTGACAATAGCGTTATCTAAAAATGATCAAATGTAGTGTGTGTGTTTCTTATATTACTTCCCTAATACATGTTTACCAAATCGTTCACTTATCTCCTTCTCTAAACTTCCTGGTGTCGATACGGGTGGAGCTGGACGAGAACAACGCATTTTTCATTCTTTACCTTCAGCATGACATCTGGCAGGAGTAAACATGAGATCCTACAACTTATTGTCATCGGGTGTTGTGTTGTTTTCCCTCATTTTGTTTATTCGTCATGTAAGTAATATCCTATCTATATTAACTATAATCACAATGAACAATGGAAGTAGTTTCTGAACTATACTACATCAGTATTTAAAACTATCATTATAATTATCTGGTTTTAATTTAGATGATAATACTTTGTGTTGCAATTTCACTCTGTCATGGCTTAACGACGACTACAGTGTAACAAAGTAAATGCCTAGCCAGATATAATATCGTACGTATAATTGATATACATTTCTAGTCAGGACGTTAGTCACAGCTTTCATACAGATGATGTGTAGACGGTAGTTCGTGTTTGACTACAGAGATAACCTTTTTGAGAGATCAACCCTTTAAATCTAGCTAAATGTTCTGCATATCAACAGAGGAATGAGACCCTCATACGTCTGTGCGATATATTGTAACGTTATACATGTATGAATAATTGAATATATCAAATGGTTTTTAGCAAAAATGCAACCTTCTTCGTTCAGGATGCTTCCTAGTAAGCACTTGGAGTTTTGTATGTGCCATCTTCTTAAAACTCTTCAAATAACATCTTCACGTTAAGTAGTAGAGTAGTTTTAACAATGATAGAAATGATTGTAAAGCAAATACAGGATAAAGTGCAGTAATCGGACTACTTTCAGGATAGGTTTCTCGGCGGAATTATCTTAGTCCATGATAATACTTTTAATACCGATATAGTTTTGAAATACATCGATAACTTCGTTTATTATGTCGACATCTTTTGAGTGACTGTCAACATGCATGGCTCGCGAATCATTGAAGGATCGCGGACGTGTGTTGCAGTACCATAGAATTCGATTGTAGAACCAATATTATCATATTGTACGACAATTTCATCAATGTACTCGTTACCGATAATTTTCACTGTTTAATATGCACAACTACTATTTGGACATTTGATATTATTTTCAATCTCATTGTGTTTCTTGGTTGCGTCGTATAATTTGTCAATTACGTGTTTACATTTTGTATTGGTTACTCTTATAATGTTTGATTCTATTCTTTCACAGCCTTCCTCTATGGTCTGTACCGTCATTACATAATGCATCTATATACTGAAAGCATAAAGAAACACAGTGTAAACATTTAAGGTTTTTAATGTTATGTATTCGGATAATATATACATTATTTTTCTATAAGTATGAAAAAACCAACATGAATAAACATATTACCAGAATATCATTCGATTTGGACCGATATTTTATGAGTAATTGAAGTCAACGATAAGTATTGAAACATTGTATAGATTGCCAAACTGATAATTGGATCATGTAATTATTTTAACATATAATACCAGTATTGAAGATATTCTCACGACGGGAGATTGAATGTTCTTCGCCCCGGTCCCCATCGAATATTGTTGATTAATAGTATTCAGCTAACTTTAGGTGTCACCCTATCTTAATATTGTGGTTGTGCTATGTATTTTGATGATGTCATCAACATGGCGGTGAATAAACTAAATATATTATGGAAAAACAGGTTTACCGTTGATTAGCCTGGCATGCTGTTTATCGAAACAGGAAAGGAACATTTATTGAAGAAAGGAGAAAATTTATACCAGTTTTTTAACTGTTTCACCGTCTCACACCTGATTTTTTTTCCAACCTTGTACCTCCTACTATTTCTGAAATGCATAGCTACAGCACTAGGCATTATACTCTTGCAGGCATCAGATGGGTTATATCATTTATCTTTCCCATCTTCAGTTATTCTCTTCGGAATAATATTCTGGAACAGATTTGTCATAATCAATTGTTGCCTAAATACAAAAAGCCTATCTCGACCAAAACTAGTGGAGATATCCCCAAACGGAGTATTATGTAGGATGGAGACAATGGCAAACATATTATATTATGCTTCGTCTATGATGCAGTTTCTGAAAAACTCATCAATTTCGAAATAAATGTTGTAAATAACCCTTTATTGTCATGTTTACATTTCGTAGAGTTTATCATCCCCTTGCAACGAAAGTTCGAGGGGATATAGGATTTAGCCCGTATGTTATACGTTTGTAATCGCTCTAGCGACTTCACTTGTCAACGGAATTCCATTTAACTTTATACAAGTGTTTGGTATGATAATACATTGAACAAGTTCTTGTTCCGGTTGCTGCGTTGAAAATAAATATATATTAGCCATCGAAGAATGCAGTTGCTAAAGCAGGTACTGATACATCATTTCATTTTCTATTCTTTTCCTCGTACATATGACAGACAATGTGTGAATGAGAGAGAATTTATATTACTTGAAATGCCTTGCTTGCACATTTCATTGATCATAAGAAGCAATTTGCTACTATTTGGTGATATGTATTTAAAGAATGATCAGAATGTGAAAAATATTATAATACTTGAAAATATATAGAACACAACTGGAAGATTGACAAACAGTAAGAATTGAATCACTTTAAGCGTATACCATCTCAACTTTATTATATGGTATCATCTAACCGGACGAATTTCATTAGAATCTGTAGTGCTATCATTATTTTATTTCTATTCTTTATTTATTATTTTAATTTTAATGTCTTATAAAATCTATGAGTCTTATCAGTTTTTTAAAATTCATGTGGACTATCACTGTTAAGGTACTTATAATACCAGCAAAGCTTTTTACACACGATGAGAAAGACTGTTTATAAAAAAGTAAGTGAATGTTTCAGCATCATCGCCAATTTTCTTTTTTAGTTGAAGATATTTCAGCGACTTCAATAAGATATTTTTCAATTATCCACAAACATATAAACATTACTATAGATAATAAAAACAGAACACATACGTAGATACATAAAGATACGTACGTTGTTTTGGTATATTGTACTTTGTTAACATGGTATATGCCGCAGTCGTATGTTTATAACGTAAAAGTTCTTAACCTACCATTACTTAAGACTGTTTCCGTCCTCAATAGAAAGAGTGTACAAGGTTTTTTCAATGATGCATGAAAAAAGTTATACCAGATATTCTTTCTTAGTAAATATTAGAAAAATAAAATGAGTTTCACACAAACAAAAAAAGCTGTCAAAAAATTTCTTTAATACTCTTTTTGAGTACTGATTTGCCAAGCAAGATAAATCGAAAAACAAAATTTACACAAAAGTATGAGATGCACGTTAAGGATGATATTCAGCTTTTGTTTTCATAGATAACATTGCGTTAGGAAAGCCAACGTCACAAAGTACTGAGTATGGCGGCTGGATTGCTGACAAAGCAGTAGATGGTATAATAGGGAAAGATGTGAGACCTCATGGAGGAGGAAGCTGTAGTGCTACCAACCCGACCGGATCACGGGATGCATGGTGGAGAGTTGACCTACAACAAATGTCAAGGATAAAAACTATCAATATCACGTACAGACAGTTGTGTATGTATCATTAACATAATATATTCGATAAGACATAAACTGTTCATAAAAATAAATAATAATAATGCAAAATCATTACAGCTTAAGATGGTCTATTTTCTTTTCTTTTCTTCTAACAGTATGGAAGGGAATTGTATATCACCATCATAGCAGGTGATTAGGGTCGGTTAATAACACTCTATAGGAGTATTAGTCATATGTTTGGATTGATGTCTTAATCTTGTAGCTATTTCTATTTTCTATATTGCCTCAGTTCACAATGTTTAATAATCTCAATATTATAAAAAATACCGTTATTATTTCAATCTTTTCGATCAGGTGGCATAGTATGGAAAAATATGTATCATAGAAACATGTGCGGATTTGATTTTTTTCTTTAAAATTATATTGATCAATGACACTCAGTTTTGCAACATCTTCACAGGTTAAGGACTAATATTTACATTTGCATGGCATTGTCACTATATAGCCTCTTTGAGAGCTGTGTCGTTGATGGGACTTTAATTACCATGCCGCACGAGCCATAATTACCATGCCGCACGAGACACAATTCTTAGCGTATTAATTACAACACTGACCGGAACTACAATATCCAATGTAAATAAACATGATTGACGGCTGCTGAAATATCGCTGGGCATTGTGAGATTTGATGTCATTGTAACTTGATGTGCAAAATTAAAATTAAAATAAAAAAACACTTTTATTACAACGAAAACAAAACCAAGGTCTGCAATATCGTACAAAATGCATATCGGTTGAAAACACCAATACCGGCAATGGAAACAATTTTAACGCTCATGCAATTTATCAGAAATATCGTCTGTTACACTGCACTGATCAACAGGGGTTCCCTATAAATGTCTGAAATACACATATTCTATAGTGCACATTTGTAACGAACCTGTGCTCCGTCGCTAGATCACTCACTTCAAACGCAACTGTATCAGTTTCACGCGTCTCGGATCCACGGTTCCTCAGTTTCAGACGACATGTCAAATAACGATGCTTTTATAGAATCTACCGATTGTTGTCGGGTTCCCATATAATCAACAAATACATTCACGCCTGGACTCTTCACAAAACGAGCAAAGAGAAAAGTTCGAATTAACTTCCAAAAATAACTCCCTCGTGGAGGTCAAGGTCCCATTCACGGTGTTCACTGTATTTATCCATGCGCGAAATTCGTTCCGGGGGAAAATCGAAACAATTTCANTAAAATGTCAAAGTACTACTTTGTTTGCCAATCAGCACGCGACAATACGCTGTTCAAACTATTGAACGAAATTGTGTGGACTGTCGATAAGGCGGGCATTTTTAATTTTAATTATGAATTGAGAGATAAAAAACAACATAAGAGGCAGAGAAAACGTAAATATAAGTATTGAACTGTTTTTGTATGATATATATGATCTATAGCGCGCATTATGTTGTTTGCTTGCAAAGCTGTGTCATTCAAATAGATCATAAATATCATACAAAAACAGTTCAATGCTTAAATAGATACAAAATATGACTTTTGAACAATTCGGGTTTTTTTGGCAATATGTTAAACATTAAACTGTGATTTTTCTTTTTTATCATATTTGTAATGTGAAACAAATTTCTGACACACATTTTGAATGTAAAGCATTAAACTTGTGTATTTATCTTTTCGTTAGCGTCGAACATATATTGTATGTGTTTCAACATAATACTCCAGATCCCTTTCGCCTCTCTGGATTCTATCTTTACGTTTCCAATACGACTGATGTGGACAATCTACAGTACACCGGACATCTGTGTTACCATGACGACACAAAGGATCCGGATCTTCCGTTATTTAACCAATCTCGTTCTTGTCCTGTTGACGGAAAATATGTCATATTCTACAACAGACGTCCCGCTGATAATGGACCTAAGTCTCATCTATACTACTCGACAACAGACGCTGTTGTTGAATTATGTGAGGTGCAGGTGTTTGGTAATTATACAAATTAATGTATATACACTATGATAACTATGGAGTGAAAATCTGATATGTTTATTAAAGCGTTCAGATGTGATTATTTTGCGTTGAATTCACAGCGAATTGAATAGTAAGCTAACTGTTTCTTTCTGCTAGGATGTCCGTTAAATCGTTTTGGAATCAACTGTGTGAGCACTTGTCACTGTGGCATTGGTGGTTGTAATCCTGATACCGGACTGTGTGACGTCACAGGATGTCATAGTGGATGGATTGGGCCAACCTGCTCAGAAGGTAGAATAAATTCGATATGAACTACCAAAATGTGTAGTATAATACGTAACAAATTGTCAAAACGTTTTATCATACATGTTATGCTTACAGCATTTAATTTTATGCATTAATGCATTTATATAAAATTTTATACTTTCTTCAAACACTTTATTTATTAAACGCGTTGCAACGATTCAAGACCGACCGGTCCCTTTGTCAATCGGTAACAATGCATCAGCCAGTATCTATTACTTATACTATTTGTGGCACTTTTAAGTAAAGAATTGTTACATTTTTGTCTTTAATTTTTTCCTTTTAGAATGTAGGAGTGACACGTTTGGCATGAACTGTAACCAGACACGTCATTGTTCCACAACCGGATGTGATAGCAGTAACGGAAGTTGTATAGTGCCAGGATGTGAGACCGGATGGCAAGGGAATGTCTGTAATGAGGGTAATATAAAGTTGGAATAACAAACTAATTCATTCTTTCGTATTATTCCGCTTGATACAAATAATTCTATAAATGTCATTTTATATTTCGATAAACATAATACATTTTCAAAACACATACATTGTATACACGTTAATAACTACTTCGTGTAATATACTGGTTTGTTAGTATACTGGCTTTGTTTGACTGCATAATTACTTTTAAATTGAATGTTATTTTACAAATTACTTCAATAAAAAAAATATGGGATTACTCTGAGAAAGAACTGGATGGATCAAAAACTTCATTTAGGTTCGCATAGTCCTAGGTTATGCATATTGAATTTTGGGGCTTGTCAGAGAACCAAGAAGACCGAAAGGTGGCAATCTTGATTTTTTTGTGTTATTGTTCGTAAACGCTATTTCCCCGAAAGTACTGAAATATTTCTCAAAATCCACATCGATGTTTCCCATTTTTCATAGTTACTCATATCTTACATTAGGACTGATCAGAAAACCAAGATGACCGACAGGTGACCGTCTTGATTTTCACATTGCCCATGAAGGTTCCCTATTTTCAGTCATTGTTTGTGCATGATTCATTTTAGGACTGATTGGAAAAACAGGATTGGCAACAGATCAAATATGTTATCACTGTTTTTAGTTCATTTTGAAGCTGATCAAAATAACAAAATGGTCGCAAAATAGCAATATTGAATTTTGACAGTTCCAGTTTGTTATCACCATTTCCCAATAAGTACTTGACGGATCTATCTCCAATTTCAAATTTAGGTTTCCCTTGTCACTGAAAGCTGCTTCCCAACTATTTGATACATTCCCAAAAATAAATGTTACACTCACGCCTACATTAACAATATCAACATAATTTCACTGGAAGGATATATCATTATGAAATGTTAGGGACATGTTCTGTATGGGATTCACCAAAACCTTATTCATTTATTTGTCACTAAAAACGGTCACCATTAACGACATAGTTCAATGGCATTCGCGCTGATGCTTGTTTTATCATTTATATATTAATATATTGTTTTATATATTTAAAACTTTATTTAAGGTTAAAGAGTTTATGTTTTCTTATAATTGGACATGTACTTTTTTAACACAACTGTAGGTATGGGACATACACATATAAAAATATATTTTATTGAGGCCACAGGACATGCAATGTTTTGTTTTAGTAACATAATCTAATAAATACGGTCACGTCCCCAATCTCTGGAATTTGTATGTCTATTCATATTGTCCGAAACAGAAGCCATAAACCTGGATCGCAAGCGTCTTTTTTACAAAGTAAACAAATGACCTTTCCCGGTTTTTTTATGTTTTCTGATGCTATTTATCATTTACAGACAAAGAATTTAAGGATCATACATTCTAAGTTAATATTATGTCAATAGATGAATTATTGACACAATTAAGATTTGAAAGTATTATTTTTATGTTTTTCCGATTTAGGTTCACCCTCTTCAGTTATTATCATCCTGGACCAACATTTTGATGTACTTACATTTTTTCTCTTTTATTCAAAAGTATAATAAAACCATATCATTTTACTGGACACGGAGATATCATGAAAATAGTGTTTGTTATACGCCCTGGCCGTACTGTATAACATCACAACAATTATCCCTTGGAGGGCCCAATCGCAAAATTAAAGTGACCAGTCACGCATCACTGCCTTTCGCATAAAGCTTCTGTTTACAGAAATGAAAAGTAAATTCTATCCGATACATAACAAAAAAAGTTCATCCGTGTTCCAACTGAGATAAACATTCTAGCGAGGTTAATGCTTTTAAATACTTATTCATAACAAGCATTTGTCCAGTTTCCACTTCAGCATTTTTCAACATCTTACCGGCTACCCGTTAAAATGCATATGCAGATGTGATGCAAACAAATACAGTATAAAACGTTATCAGACACCGAAATAATATCATTAGTTATAGTTTTTTAATGGACATATTTCAGCTAAACTCTTCAGCATTTTCCATTAGGAGATAAATGTACACTTGATACACATATATATAATTTGGAAAATAAGCCCTTTAGACAAATTACTTTCTCGCGGTGTCCCTTTAAGTATCACTAAAACGGGAGCATTATGATTATGGAGTGACACTGTAATGCAATATTATAATTTTTACGAATCTATTATTTAATAAACAAATAGTCCAAATACTGTACTAGATTCAATATGTTATATAGAGAATAATACGTGCCTTTTTCCATATCACACCCAGTATCAACCCGAGACTGCAATATCAGCCCAAGGGCCGATTATTACATACTTACTAATAAAAGCTACTATCTTATGATAAATTTTTCTTTTGAAATATTGAAAAACGAAAAAATAAATCAAAAAGGGGTGTGGAAAAAGTCATGATTTTTTCTGTTTATTACATACTTACTAATAAAAGCTACTATCTTACGATAATGTTTTTCTTTTGAAACATTGAAAAACGAAAAAAATCCAAAAGGGGTGTGATACGGGTTTTGCGGGCTGATACGGGTTTTGGGGTGTGATACGGCAGGGACTGATACGGCTTTTGGGGTGTGATACGGCGAGGGCTGTTATGGGTAAGAGCAATTGTGTCGTATCGCATATACAAAAAAAACGTATTTATTAGTAAGTATGTAATAAATGAATATAATATAGTCTGTTACAAATATATGTGATAAAAGTATTTTAAAAATTTGTTTTCCAAATCTATAAAACAAATAGTTAAATATCGAATAAATGTTGTTCACTGAAAGTGATAAATGTTTTGTTTCGTTAAAAGTGCATTACCTTAATTAATACAATGCATTTGTAATAGTATTTGACGTTGTTGACGGGTCATTTGCTAGGAGGCTATATCTACTAATCTTTTGATGACATATAACAATTTTAATCATGCTGTTTGCTTTTAGAGTGCGGGGCTTACAGATTTGGCGAGAACTGTTTGCAGACATGTCACTGTGCTTTACCGGGATGTGACCGATTCAGCGGGAGCTGTACACACCCAGGATGTGAATTTGGTTGGACAGGATTAGCTTGTAATAATGGTACTCATTTACATTATGTGTTTAAGATAAAGAATGGAACATATTTTTCCTAATTGTTATGTCTAGTATCAAAACTTGATAGCGCAATAAGCTATATTTTCAAAATGATATGTCTATATACAAGGTATTTAAAAAAAGAAAAAAAAAAGAAACAGTAAAGAATGTGTCGTAAGCGAGATTTGCAAGTTGGTTTTGGGTCGTGCGCGGACGTGAATTGACAAGATTGGGTCGGGGATGGTATCAGTGGAGGGGGTTCTAAGGAAATAACTTTTCTTTAAATCTGTCTATTTCTAACAATGCCTTTACCGCCTTCATTTTCAATCTGTTGAGGTTTTTATAAGGGTTTTCTGACCTCATAAAAAGTAAAAAAAATCGACTTGAATTTATTTACCAATTTCATATTGGTTATTTGGGGCTATATTTCTTGGTGCAATTTTTTTCCAATGCGCATGCGTAGATGCCCTTCCATAGCAAAAAGTTGCGTTGCAGAAATATCCAAAATATGGTGTTTTTGATAGTTAGCATGCAGAAATAAAAGCCTTCACATGTGACAAACAAACATTCCTTTCTACGTATGAAGATTTGTATCACAATGTTCAAGCATGTCAAATATTTATTTGTTTCTTGCATGCGGAGGCTTTCAAAAATTGAAAGTGTTTAGTCAATTTCGTTTGAAATGGCCAATGTTCAACAAAATAGCGCACAACAGACGATATTCACGCATTTTACTATGAAAATCCATGTGTATGACTCTCTTTGTAATGCCATAGCTCCTAAACCAGTTGTCAAATGAATTTGAAATTTCATATTTTCCTACATCACTTATTCCAGATTACGAATATAACAACTTATTCAAAAATCCCTGATGACACCGAAAAGGACCCTTAACAAACGCCCCTATTCTAAAGGATGCATCCAAGGCCACTGTTACTATAGATACAAGATATCTATTTTCAACAACGTCCTTATGTTCAGAGAAAACTACCCATTACATATTCTTCATAAAATGTACGTAAAATTGTCGTCGGTATATCTTAAAATAACAATTTAAAATATTGACATTAAAACATTAAGTCAGTTAAATAGTGCATTTGTAGATTTTCTTTATTTTTTATATAAAAAAACCACTTCATTTTATTCACAATAGATACCAGAACATATTAATGCAAGTTTTAATATCAAAACGTCAAAAACTCAGTAGTAGAAAATTTTATCGTGTTTTTCTTAAAACAAAGGTCAGAGTTAATCTTACTGACATATTTCTATAGATTTTCGAATATTTATCAAAGAGGTTTTTATGATTTTGCTTCAATTTTACATTGACTCACACCAAAATTGCTATATCTTTGTAAAAAATCTAAAAAGCAACATCTATTGACTTCTCATATCAGAATGAGTCGGTGAACAATGGTTTGCACAGTAATGTTTTCTAATTGTCAGACACATATTTAGTCTAATTTTTCGCTGACAATATAACCAAAAGGAAACAAATAGGATTATTTAACAGAACATTGTATTGTATTTGTATGAGATATGGTGTAAGAATACATAGAGTGTAGCATAAGAGTTGTCTAACGTAATGAAATTGATTTTGTTTCCAAATTATTTTAATAATGCGTGATGGCTAAATAAATTTGGCAAACTATCCTGTGTTTTATTCAATGAAATCATATATACATATTGGCATAAAATATAACTTTGGATGTACATATTTGCACTACCCAACGTATGGCATTTCTGGTAAATGTAATGCACAAATAACATGTATCCTTTTTTGTCACCGACTGTCTGACATCTTTTCAGCCTGTCCCACTGGACACTTTGGAAGGGATTGTAAGGAGACATGTCACTGTGCTATTCCTGGATGTAACAGATTCAGTGGAATATGTATCCTTGCCGGATGTGACGCAGGATGGGAAGGTCCGGCTTGTGACAAATGTAATATAGTCTTTTGTTTGTAATTAATTGTTGTCACCGGTCATTTCATATGATAACTGAATGTATTGTTTTGTAAAAACATGATATTAAGTGAAACCTTCTATTTCACTCCCGAAGGTATCAAAGACAGTTTTTCATGTTGTTTTTCTTGTGTGCATATTCCTGTGAAGATCAGCATTAAAAACATAATAACAACTATGCTTGAAATCATGATGATATTTCGCCTATATCGTCCTGAAAGGTTCACACATAACGGTAAGTCTGCTTAAGTCAATAATTCATGATATGATGACAACAGTATCACGGTAAATTCTCTTTTCATGATACATACAGCGGTATAATTGTCTCGCCTTAAATCAACTGCTGACCCGAAAGTTATACATCTGACACTGAGGAAAACAAGAAGAAAAAATTGATGTCCGAATGAAATTTGTTGTTCATGTTAAGTTGGTCGCAATATGTCACTGTGCTTATTTCAAGATGCACTTGTCTGAGTTCATCTTGGTCAATATATGCTACTGTGCTTACTTCACGATTTATTCAAACATTAAGTTTATTCTGACGTTTTAAGTTGACCGTGTATGTACTTAAAACAGATGTTTTTACCCAAAGCTCAGATAATATTAGGAAGATAAATACATTTGTATTCGTTTTGAATGATAGCATGCGGCATTGGTAAATATGGCATGGACTGTAAATACACGTGCAACTGCGCTTCTCCCGGATGTGACGTGATCACTGGTACTTGTACTGTGCCCGGATGTGAAGTTGCATGGGAAGGTTCGACTTGTGATATAGGTAAATGATTAAATAAAATAATATCAATATATATTTCAGGGAGAAGAATTTAAACACGTGTATCTCTTATATATCTTTTGTCAAAAGATTTAATCTGATTTTGAAATAAGATGTTTTTAAATCATATTTGTATTCTTGTTTGCTTATTAATTTGTCATCTGTTTAAATTACAAATTAGATTAATTGTTCAAATATTATATATTGTGATATTCTGGAACCGATTTACATTTCACTACAACGTAATCGCTCGTTTATAGTTCTAACCCTATTAGCTTGCAGCATCAGTTCATTTGGTAGTAATTGTACCGAACCAGGATGTGACAAATTCACCGGATCATGTAACGTATCTGGGTGTAATGTAAGATGGACAGGTTCGTCATGTGATCAAGGTATTCTTACATTTTGGTTGAAGTTTTCTTATCTGTATTCGTTCATTTAATATGAGCTTGATGAAATTTTATATGACTGTAAATATATGCAACTAATAATGTTAAGTATATATCGTATGTACAAGCACAAAAACGAAAAGGGGAAAGTCACAATCTGCACCGACTGACCCTGACACGCAAAGTAAGAGTAAGTTTCATTAAGGTTATCTAAAGCAAATATCCAATTGTAATTGATGTAAATGAGAATATTTATTTATCAATACCGACGGCAATAAATTTCAAAGATTATAACCCTTGTTATAAATTGTGAGAGTATTAATTTATTTTTAAATGCAGTTTTTTTAGATACAATGATAACTGACACTTTTGTTTCCTGTTATGAGAATATGAATTCAGATGTTTATAATCTTTACGCGATACAAAGATAATAAGCACTTCTGTTATACATTGTTAAGCATTACTTCATAGCTTGGACAGTGTTTTCTAATTTAGGTACGCGACTTTCTTTTTTTCTCCTTTGAGATTCAACAATTTAGATCACAGTCAGCAATACTTCGATTAGGACACTGGGAAACAAAATGAAATACCAAAGACGTTGTATAACACAAATACCAAATAATGTTGCGAAGATCGGCAATAATTCTCAAAGCGTTCTACAACAAATATTTTGTAGTAAAAGTCGTTAACTTTCAATTAAGTAATTGTCATTATATGTATGACTAAGGAGCAACATTGTCTCCTAAGACAAATGATGATTGATCGGTGGATTACTCGTCGTAACAAGCCCCCCTAAATTAGCAGCAAGACATACAAATGATCGTAAAAATGGGCTTGTTTGTGTATAAATATGCTGATGATTAAAGATTGAGGATGTACAGTTTTGATACGATGAATCAGTAAATATATTCAATGCTTATATAAAACAAATAACGAGTCCACAATGAACTGTTGTTTCTATTTATATAGTAGCGGTTAAAACAAACAGTAAAGATAACCTGATCAGTGGTGAGGTAAGTTCAGATGAATTAGACGTTTTACTTTTAATAAAATAATTCAGAATCATAAATATGAACCATTTTACGATCATTTTCAGTTCACGAGAATGTCCCGAATATCAAAAAGTATCTATCAAAATCAGAAACATGAATCTATTAGGATGTTTACGTTCATTTTCACTTCATAAAATATTAATCTAGATCTCTTGGCACAAAATCTGATTAAATATATCACGACAGTTAAAATAGTGTGTATACATTTATGTAACTTTTCAATACAATTCCTGTCTCACGGAATACTTATTTGTTCAATTATGTCTCAGAAATCAGGATCCACTGCTTTGGTAGGTTACGCACTGCTTGGATCATTGCTGTTTATTTCCATCGGGTTCAACATTGGATTTATAATTGATCGTCTAAGGTATGACAACTTTTTTTAAAATTATTCCATGTTCTTGCTATCTTTTTTTTATATATCATACACAAACTATGCCTGGTTCAGTGCTGTTTAGTGTTGTAAACATGTATAACTTTGATTGTACAAAATGAATATTTTCTACGTTAACCAGATTACGGACAATTTATGCGTTTTTCGTACTATATTAATTTTGTTTGAAATGATTTTTAGTAAATAAAGCTTTCGGTACACTTACAGAGCTTTT